ATACCACGACGACTTGACGACTCGTCCGCGTATCGATTTCATATGGGTGGCTATATATATGCGCGCAACCATCAAACCGAATCAGGGGCTCTTGTAATTACTATGGACATTTTTTTTTTCTGGCCGCTCAATCTCTATACATGTATAAATTTTTTTGGCGTCCATGACAGCTTTGGGCTCTGAAAGTGTCTGGTGCGTAATAAGAACGACTTTAAGTTATGCCTTCGAAATGGCGGCAAAGCGGGCTCCGGAAAAAGGACAGAAATAAGATTAAGCTATCACAAAAGGTTAATCTGCACCTTGGCAAGCGGGCTGCGGAACAAATGTTTGAGTGTCTGATGAGAACAAGAGCGAGCTTAGTAAACGAGGCTTCGGATCGAGATTGAGATACTAGCTTGCTCCATCGTTGGAGGGTGTGTGTGTGTGAGAGAGAGAGTATATGCTAGCAAGGCTCATGGAAATACTAATACCCGCCCCTTCGCCCACAATGGCAAAAATGGACAAACAACGATCAAGTAAGAAGAGGCAACCTCTTCTCGCAAGAAAATTGGCCCTTCTAGTCCAAAATACAATCGACAGAAAAAAAATTAGAAGACAAATGAGTAAAGAATAGAATGTCCAATGGTTGAGGTTTTTTTTTTTGTATAGGTGAAGCAAGCCCCAAGCGTTTCCTTCTTTGCCCTATCTTAAATTTCACGGGACTTGTACAGGATTACTGTATAGGAATTACCACTAGAAATAACTAGCGTGTGGTAGCCAAGCGTTCGTAGCGATGTTTTTTTTATCCTTCGACGTTGGATCTTTCACTCTTCCTTACATCGAATTATATGTTGATGAAAGTGAATAGGGGTTAAGGGGTGGAAATAATCATCAATGCGACTCGGGAGTTTCTCCTTTTTTCTCCTGATCGTTACATGCGATTTGCTTGCGTGTGTATATTTTGTTTCCCATCGACTTTGGAGGATGTAACTGAAATGACAAGAAGAGCCTTGGCACATGTATTAAACAGTCTTCGCCTCCCTCTCCTTCCTTCTTGTGTTTCCAACCATGAGAATAAGAGCACCGCCTCGGCCAACATTCCTACTAATTTTTGTTTGTATCACTGGGTCAGCCCTGAACTACATCATTATTTTTTAGGCTGTTGTATTCTTTTTTTTTTTTATCGATCAGGTATATATTTTCAGCTGATCTAACAATGCTCTCTCTCTTTACTTTTGTTAAACCCAATCCTTCACATATTCCTCCCATCCTCCCCCCACTTTTCTTCCCATCTTCACCAGTAAGCTTCATATCGATAAGCTTGTATATAGATATACAACAATGGCACGACGTTGCTGTTACCCATTCTTGCTACCTATCCGGATCATACTCGCCATCACAACCCTCTATTGCTTTGTTGCTGTTGCGATCGGCAAAAAGATCAGTCAGGATTATAGGACCTCACGTTCGTTTGACTTGGAACCCGGACTCGCCACGGAAGCCTACTTCAATGATCCCGCACACTTTGGGATCAACATCACAGTCCTCATCAGTATCGTCTTTACGCTCTACCGCCCAGACTCGACCTATTGGTGGCTTTCCTCTCCTGTCCGGAGGATAATCTTTGCGTTGGCCCTAGCGTCGTTAGCTCAGACATATGGGATCATGCTGTTGATCAGGATCCTGAACGTACAGGGCCGCTGTAGCAATCTATTCTTTGTCAACACACAATCGAGATGTATGGTCCAATATAGCGTAAGTGGTTGTGAGATCCTCTGGGGCGTTCTGATCATCATTGAGGCGATCGTGACGATTCAACAACAAAAGGATATTAAATGGCAGGAGCAGACTGCGGAGCGAGAGTTGCGCACGGCCGTTATATATAGACCGGATTTATCGCTCGAGGCTGGGCAAGGGCCTCACGATACTAATAATAACAACCGAGGAGAGTTCGAGTTGACGTCAGTCGCGAGTCAGACTAACGAACGAGGTGTTGGAGACGAGGAAGAAGAATCTCTTCCAGAGTATACGAGAAGAAGGCCAAGAGATCAACCGAGGATTGTAGATGCCACCCATCCTCCAGAGAGATTTGCTGGAGCGGTTGCAAGGCGGTTGCAATCTGAAGGAGAAACGGCCGGCTCATCCTCAATACCCCAGACACCCCAAGGACAGACTTCAATAGAACAAGTATTTGGCCAAGAAGAAGAAGAAGAACTCCCCCCTCCCCCTTCCTACAAACCATAGTCATAACAATGCACAATAATGTAAATAATGTACAATAATAATTTTTTCTTACAAATAATGATTATGCAAGAATGCTGTGTGTGTGTGTTTTTTCTTTAATAGTTTACAATACAAAGATGCATGAATGTTATGTTGTTGTTGTTATATAAAGTGTATGATTAGGTATTTGCAGCTTGATAACTTGGAGGAGGTGACTGGATAATGTCCTGTGCGGGACGACGCAATGATGTTCCTCTTGCGGGCCTTGACATGTGTCTTATATTGGCCATGTCAATGATTTGTGCGCGCGGGCCAGAAGGTCGTTGCTCGTATGCTGGTAAGGATTCTAATTCCATGGAGTCGCCTATCCTGCTGGTTCTTTCATTCCCTGCTGAATCATACATTGAAAGATCTGGTTGGTAAAGGTGTACAATGGAGGTCGGTGCCGACATTCCTTGTTGTCCCTGGCTGTCGTCGCGCCCTATATTATTCGGGTCCTTTTGATCCAGCTCCCGTCGCCGTTGCAGGTCTGTAAGGGCGAGTTCTATGGCTAATAATACACTCCAGATGACGCCGATGCCTCCAACGATCATTTGGATGATACATCGTAGCCTGGGAGTCATTGGACCTCTTACGTTATCATTGCCTGATCGATTGCCCTCTCCGAAGCGTATGGTATTGAAGATTGGACTATTCGAACATCCTCCACTGTCTCCAATACCTTTGAATTGAGTTATAACTAAAGCAGCGTTAGCTGCGAGCAAGATCAATCCTGAGAGGATACGTATCCTGCGAGACCACCGAGAGCTTCCAAAGAAAGAATAGAGGGTGGCGAGGAAGAGGAAGGCGTTGAAGACGAATTGTGGAGAGTCCTGGAAATCGTGGGTGCCGTTGTATGTGCTGTCCTTTGGGGAATATATTTGGAAGGCAGCAGAGAGTGCACAGAGGTTGACAGTTGCAGAGACGATGAGGATGATACGAATGGAGATTATGAAGAATGAGAGTGTGGGGCGACAACGTTGAGATGTCTTGAAGAATGGTAATGGCATTGTAAGGCAGCAGTGCCTGTGATGAGGCACACCGAGATTGATTGAATGAGATTGAGGTTGGAGAAGGAAGTATCGTTTTTTACAAAGGGTAATAAAGGGTAATAAATGATCCCGAGACGGATAACGTTTTTTAGTAAGACAAAAGACTTAAATATCACACATATAAAAAAAAAAAAAAAAAAATGTTTGATATAGCTGGGAAGGAGAGAAGAGGAGAGAGAGAAGAGAGAGAGAGAGAGAGAGGAGAATGAGAGAAGAGGATTGGGATTGTGAATGATTGTTTTGAATGAGATGGTTGGATTAGAGACTTTCGAGGTAAGAATGAAGTAATGAGAATGAGATTGAAAGAGATTAAAGAATGCGACCTTTGAGGTAAAACGCAAGTTTATGTTTGGATTCAGTTGCACACAGGCACACACCCCCTTCTTTTTCATATGAGATATGTCCTGCATTTACAAGTGCATGTATGCTGGTTGATTGTCGAGCACTCTGTTGTATATATGTTGTATGCATATCACAACATATAACAGAGTGAAAGAGTGTAAATAGAGACGGGCAGCACTTTTTTTCCTGCGGTCAACCCGAAACATATTGCAATTTAGCCTTCATATTATATGTATTATGAAAATTTATATGGGAGGTTAGACTATTTCGGGTACATTTATCCCCGTCTCACCTTGACATTTGTTCCTGAAATGGCAGACACGTACACACACACACACATATTTACACTTACACTTACACTCTCTCACACGACACACGCACACTCACGCACACACCCAGACACACAGCCCTATCACTGTCTTTCTTGTTGCTAAAAAAAACTTTTATTGTAAAAACATGTAGCTCCCTATACAAGTGCTTACATAGCCTGCTATTTTCATAACTTGTGTGTGTGAGATTGATGATTGCTCTCAGATGCATTAGTCTTCACACGCAAAGATCATGAACGTTATTTTGATGCACAACATCAAGGGGCGGTCCAAACAAACAAGCTCACCTATGTCTCTCTCTCTCTCTCTACTCTAGATCCTTTTGGAATTTAACTTTTTTTTTTTTTTTCCCTTGCTGGTGAAAGAACCTCGATTGCATCTTATATTTTTATTGTAACATCTACATGTACACCACGACGGTCCATCCGCAGGAACATACACCGAACAGACAGATATAGACAGACAGATATACCAAACAGACAGATACAGATATCGAAAACAGAGTTAATTTAGCTTGGCTGTTGCTTCTACATGTAATATCTCAACGTCAACTTACAAAAAGATGTGCCACATAATTTTACGCCATGGAGATGTACTTGACACGTAAAAATTAAATACCAAATCACTACACTGACTTCAAAATCCATCACCTTCAAATTTATCAAGTGCCCATGTACTCAAGGACACTAAAGTCAAAAAGGAAGAGGGAGGGATTTGAACCCACGACTACCATAAGATAGACTACAGAACGAATCTTTTGATTCTAAACTGGGCTGCAGCGCCTTAGACCACTCGGCCACCTCTTCTTCTTCTTGTGTTATCTATTTTTTCCTTGTCTCGAGTGTTCTGTGGCTTTTTTTCACATATACTTTTCAGTTTTTCACAAACCGTAGTCAGTCGATCCGTACCTCACTAACCAACGCGACTCCCTTATGAACTGTAGAGCTGGGATGTTGTCTAGACTGCATTCTCTTTTATTCTTGCAGAACACAGCATTAAAAAAAGAAATCGCTTGTCACTGAAATAGGAAAGACCAATAATTCGCCATCAAGACTCCAAACTTAAACAAGCAATGCTCCTCTCTCACTTTGCTTAGTCAAGAACCTCTGGGAAAGGTAACTAAAAAAAAAAAGGAGAGCCAAAAGGGAAGAGGGAGGGATTCGAACCCACGACTACCGTATAGATAGACTGCAGAGAGAATAGTAGACTATCAAATGGGTTGCAGCGCCTTAGACCGCTCGGCCACCTCTTCTGTTTGTTCTCTGTCTGTTTTTCTTGTTTCCGTTGTTAGATAGCTTTTTTCTGACTCTTGTATCGCTTTATTCTCTCTTTCTCTCTCTCTCTCTCTCTCCCCCCCC